CAGCTTCGACTGCAGCTCCAGCTGCTGCAGCAGGTTGAGCTGCTGCTGCTGTGCGTGCGGAGCGGGAGCGCCGTCGAGCGCACTCGGCCCGTCGGCGGCGTGGCTCGAGTTCTGCCGGCTCTGGCGGTACTTTTGGAGGTGCGACTTGATGTTCTGCCGCGTCGGCGCGTACTCCTCCCCCTCGCATCCCATCAGCTGCCGGATGGCCTGCGGCTTCGCGTGCGGCACGCCGAGCTTGTGGACGGCCCGCTCGAACCGAAGGTGCATCTCCGGCGTCCAGACGAAGCGCGCCTTCTTCTCGGCGGGCTCGCCGGCCTCCGGCGCCCCTCCCTCCCCGTCGCTCTCCTCGCCGCCGCCGCCACGAGACTCACCTGCTCCGCTCCTCGAGTGCTGCTGCTTGCCGCGGGCTGCCGGCTCGCCAGAGCCGTCCGCGACCTTGCGCGGGCGGCGAGGCCGCATCGCCATGGCGGGCGCGGCGGGCGGTGCCGCGGGCGCGGCCGCGGCGGAGGACGACGCCGAACCGGCTGCCGACCCGTGCGTGGGCGCTCGGCCGGCCAAGTCTCCGAGCATGGGAAGCTGTCCAAAGGATTCCTGCATCATCAAGAGAAGAGTGCGGAAAATTCTCAGCCTCTTGACGATTAAGGTGGGCCAGAAAAAGTTGCCCAGCAAACGGGGATGGGGGAGGAGGACAGGGTCCACACCTGCACGAGCAGGATATTGGAAGGACGACCAGGGGCACAGATACGAGGGGGGCGAACAGAGGTGGATACGGTCGAGTACAGCGGAGTGCGTGTCCTCTCGAGCGCTCGCTGGCAGACAAGAGTGCGCATTCCGCTTCTAGGGCCCGAGATATGGGGAGATCTGGGGAGATATGGGGAGATGTGGGGAGATATTCCGCTTCTAGGCGGCTCTGCCCCAGAGCGGCCGTGGGGAGCGTCGGCGGCGTGACCGTGAGGGAGTAGTGCCGAAGGCGCTCTTTTTGATCGAGAAGTCGAGAGCACTGCACTCACCACACGGAATCACACGCTCACACGCACACCTCACACGACAGTCGGAGCGTCGACACAGAGTAGCACACAGAGGCACAGCACACAGTCGAGATAGAGCTCTTCGCTCTCAGCTGGACACAGCAGTACGGACCAGCGGCTGCAAACTCCGCAGTCTCGGTCGAGCGTCATTGCTAGCGCACACAAAACACGCACAGCCTGCACAGTACACAGGGCTCACCGGCTACTCGCCCTCTTTCTACCGCCACCTCGGGCGCTCGGCTCAGCACGCATCCTCACCGCTCCACCGCCGCGGCACGTCTCGCTCGACATCGCCGAGCACGACGACCCTCCGCATGATGCGGCGCACGCTCTCGACGTCCCACGGCAGCGCGCGGTGCGGCGTATCGCATGTCCGCGAGCGAGCAGCCCATCCCGGCAAAGCCGCGCCTCTCGTGGCGGGGCGTGAGCATGCTCATGGTGTCTGACATCGTCGGCACATCCGTCCTCACCTTCCCTGCCGTCGCCGCCGAGCTCGGGTACGCGCTGACGGTCCTCATCGTCGGCCTCTTCCCGGTGACCGTGTACGTCAGCGTCCTCATGGCGCGAACACACGTCCGCGTACGCGGCATCGACAGCCTCGGGAGCGCTGCGCGGCGCATCTTTGGGCCGCGGTACGCCGGCGGCACCTTCGCGGTCGTGTACGGCTACACGCTGCTCGGCAACGCCTCCTACCTCCTCGTCCTCGGCACCTCCCTGCAGGGCGTCTTTTACGACGCGCGGCTGTGCCTCGCCGCCGCGTCTGGGCTCGGCGCGCTCCTGCTCGCGCCTCTCGTCGTCGGCCTGCGGCGGCTCGGCGACTCGACTACGGAAGAGGAGGAGGAAGGCTGGTCTACCTACACCGCGAACTGGGCTGGCCGTGAGTGCGCCTGAAGAGGGGCGAGACGCCGTGATGTGGCGCGGAACAAAAAGAATTCGCGTCCCGAATTCTAAAAAAGCAGAGAGAGAGATTTTTAGCAATACCAAACCGTAAACAAATCTAACACTCACACGTAATTTGGGGCCTGGAACCCTGTTCACGCGCGCGCGAGACGTGCAGACAGGGTTGCCAGGTGAGAGCGAATGGCGCGGTTCACTTTGTTTGTTGTTGAGTGCACGGTCAGTCTAGTATACACACGAGTGGCGCGCGTCAATGCTCGCACTCTTCACAGGGGCGCGTCAGGCCGCCGCCGCACGCGTCGCCCCCTTCTTCAGCTCCGCCACCTGGTCGAGCGCGTCGCCGAGCAGCCCCTTGGCCACGCCAAGGTCGCACAGCTGCTCCACGCCGCCGCTCGCGCGCACCTCGGCGGCGTGGTCGGCCACGAAGCGGCGGCACTGCGCGAGGAGCCGCCCGTCGCCCATCGTGTGCGCCGCCTCGAGCAGCGGCACGGCGGTCGCCGGCGCGACGCTCTCCTGCAGCGCCTGCGCGCAGAGCAGCTCGAGGCGCGGCACCTGGTACATCTGCGCCAGCTGCCGCAGGTCGAGCGCGCGCTGCGCTCTGCCGCCCTCCTCCTCGCCGAGGTCGAGCTGGTCGGTGAGGAGGTAGCGGACGAGGGCGGTGAAGGTGGCGAGGTCGGTTTTGCGCACCGTCACCTCGGCGGCGTCGCGCTCCTTCATGCCGATGCCAAACATGGTCCGAAAGAACACGGACCGCACGCAGAGGACGCACTTGCTCACGTGCTCGATGCGCTCCTCGTCGTCGCCGACCAGGAAGGTGACCAGGCCGGTGGGGAGGGTGGCGTCGCCCCACGTGTTGGCCATGTCGGCGGAGAAGGTGGAGGGCGGAACCACGAGCGGCGCGAAGGAGGGAGGCGGAGGAGGCGCCGCCACGCAGACCTGGCGGAGGCCGCCCATTGCGCAGACCGAGAGGGTGCTGCCGTCGGCGCTGATGGCGAGGGCCATTGGGTAGTTGAACTGCGCCGCGCCGCCCACGCCATCAGCGCTGCCGCTGGCACCGCTGCCTGCGAGCGTAGTGACTGCGCCAGTCGCCACCTCCACCCGCCGGATCTTGTTGTTGAACGTGTCTGCCACAAACAGCGCGCTGCCGTCCGGGCTGATTGCGAGGCCGCGTGCTCCGTTGAAGTGCGCCGCGCCGCCGACGCCATCAGCGCCGCCTTCCTCGCCGCCCGCGAGCGTAGTCACCGCGCCCGTCGCCACCTCCACCCGACGCATCTTGTCGTTGCCGTAATCCGATACAAACAGCGCGCTGCCGTCCGGGCTGACAGTGACACCGAATGGGCAGCAGAACTCCGCCGCGCCGCCAACGCCATCCGCGTCGCCATCATTGCCGCTACCCGCGAGCGTAGTGACCGCGCCCGTCGCCACCTCCACCCGCCGGATCTTGTGGTTGCCGCAGGCCGCCACAAATAGCGCGCTGCCGTCCGGGCTGATTGTGAGACCGCGTGGTTCGCCGAACTGCGCCGCATCACCCACGCCGTCTGCATCGCCGTTTCCGCCGCTACCCACAATCGCCGTCACAGCACCCGTCGCCACCTCCACCCGCCGGATCTTGTGGGCGTCGAGGTCCGACACAAACAGCGCGCTGCTGTTTTGGCTGATGGCGAGGCCGAAGAGTTCGCCGCCTTCGCAGGTTGCCACGGTGCGCACGCGCCCGGCCGCCGAGACGTGCAGCACCGAGTTCTTAGTCGTGACGTAGCAGCCGCCCGCGTGATCGATTGCGACGCCGCGCAGGCTGAGGGACGCCAGAGGTCCGTCCTCGCCCTTGAGCGCCAGCGTCGTGACCTGGCCGACGACGCGCGCGCCAAAGATGGGCGCCTCGAAGCCGGCCGCGACTGCCACGGGCTCGCCCCCCTCCTCGCCGCCACCGTCGCTCTCGGTGCGGGCGCGCTTGCGGGAGGGCGACACACTCATCATTACTCGTGAGGTCGCCGATTTCTTTTCGGGCCTCGAGTTTTTTTCGAGGCCATGATAGTGTGGTAAAGTTGTGCGTCACGCTGCCCGGCCTTTCTCACTTTCCGGGACAGCGCGGGTCATGAATTCTTTTTCGCACGACACTGGGCACGGGAAAAAGAAAGAAAGGAATCACACACCACAAGGGAGGAATGGGAGGACGGCACGCCGCCACACAGGGATTTAAAGGAGAGGAGTGTGGTGCTAGCCGTCGCCCACCCTCGGGCGTCTACCACTTCCTATCTCTCTCCGCAGTTTCTCACCAATTCTCGCAGCGACCTTCATGCCACCTCGCGTTCTTCCCACTCTCGTCGTTCTCTCTCCTGCTGTCTCTTCCCCTGACTCATCGCTCTCCTCGGTCGGCCTCGTTCTGAGACGCCGCTGCCGTCTGCCTTTGCTCTCGCTGCTTCTCTCGCCTTTCTGCGTAACTCCGCTCTCCTCTCCGCGTATTTTGGTCCCTCGAGTTTATCGAGCATTCCTCGCGACAGAGAGAGGTGTTAGTTAGGCGGGAGGGTCCGGCGCGGGAGGGTTGGCGGCTTGGAGGGCTCGCCAAAATATAAACAGGGAGAGAGGGAGAGAGGGAGAGAGAGGAGAGAGAACATCGCACCGCGCGTCCCTCGGGGGGAGGGGTAGGAGGTCCTCGGACGAAATCCAAAAAACGTCATGATGTGGAATGACGATTCGTCAGAAATTTTACTGGGAGCGCCAGGGAGCCCCGGGAGACCATGGCGTCGATGTCCGCAACCGCGTCCGCAACCGCCCACTCGGAATTCCTCGCGCTGCGCCTGCGGGACGTCCTGACTCCGTCCCGGTCGCACTCGCATTCCCGCCACAACGACATCCCCACGATCCCGGAGGAGCGTGCCGCCACACCGACAAAGCCCGTGCCGTCACCCGCCAGCCGACGAGGGGGAGGGCCTGGCCTCGTTTATTGCGATGCCGGTTTCTTTGGATTTTACGTGGAGGAAGCCAAGCTTGGGCCTTGGCGCAATGCGTCGAATCATAGCCGACGAGCTTTCTGACTGAGAGCATCCTTTTCCCCATTCCCGATTCCGCAACCGCATTCGCCATGTATGTGCATGTGCCTCGGAGCGTGGTCTCGAGGTGTGACGTGAATGTGCTGAGAAAGTGGGTGAGCATCGAGCTGTGTGGCGCATGCGCCACACATGTGCGCCACACACGCCAGCACCACGATCGGATCCCCCTCTGTCCGAGGTCGGGGCTCGCGGAACCCCCCGAGATTTTCGGTGTGAAAGGCTGGCTGAGGGTTAGTGTGCGGCCACGAGGCCGATAGAGCCGTACGTACTGACATATAAGGATAGAAGCGACGCATGAGAAGGCCCTCGTGGAGGCCGTGCACGAGACCAGGGAGAGGGACCAGGGCGGGGCCCTGCCAGGGGTGCGGCCGGTGGCATGGCACATGCGGGGTGATCGGGAGGAGGGAGCAACAATTTCGCAGCGGTCCCGGTAAATGCGCTGCAGTGCGGGGCGGGGCTACACAAAACACACACCACGCCGTTCACCCGTCGGCCGTGTCGCGGCAGAGTCGTGCTCCTGGGCGCTGGTGACACCTTTGCTGCTCGTCCGGGTGAAGCGCGCCAGGACACGCGTGGAACAGCCCGCGTCCCAGCGCTCCAGCCGCCGCCAGCTGTGACGCCCGCCGGGGCCGGCGCTTGTCGTCGCGGGCCGTCTTCCTTCCCTCTTCGAGCACTGCCGCCGTCGACTCCACAGGCGCTCCGACTCACGCTCTGCTCGCAGCCGGTCTCCGCGCCTGCCGCTCCGCTCTTCTCGCTAGCTTCGACGCTCTAATCTCCGCGAGCGACTTCTCAAGTTTTCGTTTCGCATCGATCGGATGCAGCTTTTCGCCGTCGGCCTTGGACTCGAAGGAGACCACCGAACGCAGCGTGAAGCGAGCGTCTGCCGTCGCAGCAGCAGGAGCAACGGAGGCGTCTGGTGGTGGCGGTGGGACGGCCTGCCCGGCGGGCACGACCGGATCGAGCATCAGGCCGAACATATCGTCGGGGCGGGCTGCTGCTGCTTCTGCGACGGGACGTGCAGCCGGCTTGCGCTTCATGCTACGTGCGTGCGGCTCACACACTGAGTGGGCGCGGGAAGAATTCTCCGGCGCCGACTGACGTAGCGTAGAGACCGCCACTCCCTTGGGTTGTGTGTTTTCTTTCTTTCTTTTTAGAGACCGCCAGTGGATGTGGGAGTCCACCGCGCACCGCGCTGCGAGCCTGTCGTGTCCCTTGTCAGGAGCAGGAGAGCCCCACCTGTCCCCCTGATCGTCCTTCCAAAATCCTGCTCGTGCAGGTGGGGACCCTGTCCTCGTCCCATCCCTCGTTTGGCGTGTCTGTTTTCTTTCTTTCTTTCTTTTTCTAGCCCTGCCGGAGAAATTTATGTCGAAAAGAAAAAAGCCAAATAAAAGAAAACGCGGCAGCGCGGCGCAGCGCTACAAACACCCCCGGTGTGTCGCTCCAACAGCCCTTCGTCCTCCCATCCCTCCCTTGGGCCACCCACAACGAACGCTGCACCGCGGGCTGAGCCCTCAAGGATGGCGGACGACGACCTCGTCGCGCGCTTGAGGCGCGGCCTCGAGGCCAAGGACCCGTCGGCCACCGCGCAGGCCTTTGTGTCGATCGACCCGGTGACGCCTCTCCCGCTCCCGCTGCTTGCCGCCACCTCCAACCTCCTGTCCCTCCACCGTCACAACACCGCCGCCTACTCGGGCTTTTGAGCGCGGCCTGGCCCTCGCCGACGGTCCGGCCGCGCTGGTCAAGGCGGGACTGAACTTCAAC